CAGCAGCAATGATGGCAGGCTGGTGGGCAACCTTTAGCCTCTACTGGCAGTGATGGTGGAAGCTGAGTCATCCTGTGGCCTCTGGCTATGTGGTGGCTGGTCACATACGTAGCATGAACCTCTAGCATAGGCAGGTTGGGAAATGGGCTTCCTTTGGTTCTTGAGTGGATAGATCTTCTCCTATGGTCTTTTCTAGCTAGTGAGATAAGGGAAAGGTCTCACCTGGGCATAGTGGATGGAGGGTACAGGGATACTATGATGCCAGTACTTTAAACCCTGGGCTGGGGTTCAGCAGGTAGGCCTCAGCTGGGGGAGAGACAAGCTGTGGTAGGCTGCAGTATCTTAGCCTTGTCTCCTCTCCAATGCCTTCTCATATGATGTTGGAGCAACCAGAGAGTGGAATTCAGGGACTACACGTGTGTTTCCTTCAGTCCTTCCTACATTCATGTACACCTAGCAGCATTGGTGACAATGCAGTTTTCCTTGTGTCTTCAGCTGTGGCTGAAGCAATAGCAGATGCTACCTACAGCTCAGCAGAGGCCTGAGTGAGCAGCAGCCACCTCAGTCCCATCCTCAAAGAGGACTGAAAACAGTACCAAGCAGGGCTGTTGGTAGTATTTTTGGACACGCCTTTGAAACACTTCTCACAAACACAACCTTTCCCTGTCCACCATGACCACATGATTGTGCACGAGGCCAGCTTACACATTTTGGGGGCAGTTAGTGAGAAGAGTCTTTGCGATACCCTGCAAATCTAACCGACTCCTTCTGCATTCAAAGAATGTGTGTCTGGAGGCAAGGGAAAGGGGAATCTCTTTGTGCCCCTGTCACCCGCAAGCCTCCTGCTATATAAATGGTACCCAGCTGCTTGTTCCTTTCAAACGTAGTGATCTGTTATATCGGCTTATGTCAATATATGTTTTCCGGGCTAACTTCTCAAGGAAAAGAATTAGAAAGGCTGAGATTCTCCTTCATGGGGCTCCAGACTCACACAAGAGGTGGGTCTTAAGAGGTGATCTTATCTTTACGGCACACCCCAGAATAGTTTTTCTTGTCCTGCTGGGGAAGTCTTGTACATGGCAGTAGCCCGGCCTGCAGTAGTTAGGGAAGCCATGATGAAATCTTTGACGTACCACGATGTTGATGCAGTGTCCGCACAACAGCCCCCCGTGAATGCACAGACTGGCTCCCATGTATCATAGTAGCCTGAGAAACCACATATTAGTCCAGAATTCTTGAGTTACTTTGAGAGACGAGGTGGGTAAGGTAATATCTGTTACTGGACCAATTTTGTACATTCCTCTTATGTGCTGTGGCTCATAGGCACTTATATATAGTTCGTGATTATACATGTTTTTATTACTAGTTGAAGTGGATTTTTGTTTGCAAATCTAGCCTATGAAATTTACTAGCTCTTTGGGGTCAGCACCACCATTTCCTAGCTGTTTATACAGCTCCTAGCATAATGGGCCCAAATGTAGTTGTGGTCTTAAAGTACTACTGCAATATAAATGTTAAACAGTAATAATAATAACTACACCTGAGGAGTGCTTCCACAGGCCATATTTCATTTGCAGGTTGAGATTTACAAGACTTTTAAAATACAGCTGTTTATCTGTCCAAAAATTTTGGAGCAAAATAAATTAAATACCCTCATAGGCCAGAGATTCTGCATACAGTATTTAAAGAGAGTAAATCTGAACTGACAGTGTCTTTTTAAAAGAGTGGATTATAGCATCCAGTAAAGAGAAAAGAATAATAATATTTATTTAAAGGCTTTTCAGATCCATCACCATAGGGTCTGAATGTCTTAATAAATGTATCTTCCCCCACACCTAAGGATGTAGGTCAATATTATTGTACCCATTTTACAGGCGTGTAAACAGGCACACAACAAAAATCAGTGATATTGTTTGCTCAAGGTGACACTAGACGTCTGTAGCAGAGTTGGGACTAGAACTCACATCCTCTGAATCCCAGTCCAGTGCTTTAGCTTAGAAGAAGACTATCCCTTCTCTTGCTTAGCGCCTATGAATCACTTTTCGTCTTCAAAGTACTGTAAAAATCAATTAATCCTGACTGCAGATTTGAGATAGCTGGATAAACGTAATTACTTATTTTACAGATGGGGAAACTGAGAAGAAGTGAAGGGACTTATCTGAGGCTACAGAAAGAGTCACTGTTAATAGCTAGGATTGATCTCAGGCATTCCTGGCTCCCTCTATTGTGCTCCAATCCCTAGATCACACCTCTCTCTCTCGTGTTTGCAAGAATAACTAATCAACAGTGCAAGTGAATGAAATGTTTTGTCACAGAATAATGAAAAAGTATTGATGGCCATGTAATTTGTTTTTATAGTTTAATAATGCTATAGGCCAAAATTTCTGCATCCTTCAATATGGGTATTTGTGCATTGAAAACGTAGCCCTATATATCATATTTTCAGGATAAGAAATCTCTTTATCAAGTGGACTACGACTGTATAGGCAAATGGAGCAAACATTAACGTGCTTAGCAATATCACCACCACTGTCTTACATCCTTATTTTCTGACAAAGGTCACTATGGTTACTCTATGTTCCTTCAAAAAAAATCTACCTTTAAAGCATAGAAAGGATTTTAGCATTCCTATAAAAGACAGCATCAGCAATGAGAGATTTGAGTGTGCAGTGAATGCAAGATCAGACAACAGATGGCAGAGCCACTTGTGTAATTTAGTTGGATACGGGCATTTTTCAGGCTTTATATCACTCAGGTTTTATATTATCATTTAGGTGAATACTGGGCAGAAAGCCACTTAAAAGTGATTTAGGCACTTTGGAGCCTAAGTCTCATTGACTTTCAATGAGACATAAGCTCCTAAGTGATTAAGTGACTTTTGAAAGTGGGATGTAGCTATCTAAGGCACTTAGATTTTGTGATTAGGCTTGGACAGACTAGATTTTTATGTTAAATGTTGGTAAACTTCAATTTCACCATACGCACATAACCCAATGAAAAAAATATTTCTAATGATAATAATTGAAATGTACAGGTAGGCAAAGTACGAAAAATGCTGCTTGAGAACTTATTATGGTTTAAGGATATTTGCTTTGCATATTTTGACATGTTGATAATTTGTGTTTTAATGGTTATAAAGCTTTAACTTTATAAATCTCAATGTTTACTGACATTAAATAATTATCTAACCCATCCCCTTAATTTCCCACAACTGTGAACATTTAAAGCAATAAAAATTGAAAAAAAAAAACCCGATTAAAATCAAATTCTGCCAACCCTACTTATAATGCTGAATAGGGCAACACCTTAAAAAATCTGTGCATGTATCAGGGGTAGGTCTACACAGCAAAGAAATACCTGCAGCTAGCCCATGCCAACTGACTGGGCTTGCAGGGCTTGGGTTGCGGGGCTGTTTCATTTCTGTGTAGACTTCTGGGTTCAAGCTGGAGCCCAAGCTCTGGGACCCTCCCACCTTGCAGGATCCTAGAGCCCAGGCTTCAGCCCGAGCCTAGATGTCTACCCAGCAATGAAATAACCCTGGAGCCTGAGCCCTTTGAGCCTAGTTGGCATGGGCCAGCTGCAGGTTTTTCTTTGCTGTGTAGACATACCCCTAATGGCCTCTGGAGATATCTCCAGACATGCTTTAGAGAAGTCCCATAGCTGTTCTAAAATGGACTAGAATCAATATAGAATTGTCCCCAGAATCAGGGAGCAGCAACCAGTTACTTTGAACTCTCCCCAACCCCACCCACTCAGCTGCAACCAGTAGGCAATGAGCACCGCTGAGCTGAGAACTTGTATCCAATATTTTCTTAACACGAAAACAATGATTAATGACAATGTTCCTTTTGTGACAGTTCAGACAAATAAACACTGTTCCCAGTCTAATAACACCATTTCATTCTTCATAATGTTAGAAATGAGATATGTGAAATGATCCATACATTGATTTATTAATAGATTTTTTTGGAATTCAAAATGCATCTGAACAAATACACATTGCTACATTTTTAAGCCGACATTCAGAGTTTGTTACATCACTTTTTGAAGGAAATGGCCACAAGGTAAAATTCACACAAATAATGTAACTCTGCAGATGACCTTTCCAGCTGACAAAATCTACAATATTTTGAGAACAAACATCTATCCAGTTACTTTACAGCAAAGAAAAAACAAACATGGACCACTGTTCATTAGAGCACAGCCATAACAGCAGAAAATAGGCAAGCCCTACATTTGGCAGATATCATCAGATGTTTGTTGCCTACATTAATTGATTAATTGAAGCAAAGGGACATGCACTGCTACAGTGACTTTGAATGATTTCCCAGGACACTCCTGAAAATGAAATGACATCTCAAGAGATTACTTCCTGCTGAAGTCATTTTAAATAACTATATTAAAAATAAATTAGAGTGTAAACATAGGGCCTGATTCTTTTTCACGAATGGCCCTTTACACCTCTAGAGCAGTGTAAAGATGTCTTAAATTACATTTTAAGACCCTCTTTATATTACCAAAGTGGTGTAAAGTGGTCTTCATGTAAATGATAATCAGGCTAATAAAGTGAAGCTATGCCCTGCATTAACCATAAGGATATCTTTTAGACCAAAGATGAGCATATGTAGGATATAATGCTGCCATCCCCAAGATCGGTTGCATGTGTGCATGCTTTCAAAGCACAGAACTATTTTTGTGTTAATCAAGAGCAATCTGATTAAATCTGTAGTCTTACAAACGAGGAATTAACCAGCTGAAAACACATTTGTATCAATACAAAACTTTATGATATTGTAACTTTGAAAACAATGCCCGTACTGAACAATTTAATCTGCTTCACTTGGCTTGCACTATTTGAAATAAACATCTGTTTATATTATGAACATGCTGATACAGTTGTCTCTTTTGGTTTTATCACAGAAATGCATTGCAAATTATTTTAAGCTCACAGTTAAATGTTAGATGCTAAAGTTGAGGATACTTTCTTGAGCAGTTACTTATTACTTTGCTCTTTGAAAGGAAGTTTTTTTAATTCCTGATCCAACTCCATTGCGAAAGGACCTTTTAATGAAAGACTTCTCCAGGAAAGGTTTTAGAAAAGTCAATTCTTCACTCCTGTCCAGCTTGGCTAAGCAGCTATTCAGCAGGATGAGACAGTAATCAGATTTCCTGGACAGCTGGCAATTCAAATAAAAAGGATTATTGCTCAGAAGATTAAAAAAATATATATCACAGATCAGAAAAGCCATAATTATGGATTTGCACATTTGCTGGGACTTGCCCACTGTAAAAAGCAAAGCCGAAAAACAAAAAAGTCATTTATGCTTAAAATGACAAGGATTAACTATTATTTGCTTTGGATTAAAAGTATCCAAATTGGATGTTTTTATAGTTTTTCTGAAAATGCAAGTGGTGTTTTACCTGTATAAAATTCTGATATTTCTATAGTTATATTTATCATCCAAAACATTGTTATTTTCAATGCAGCACTAACGACGTTGTCTGTTGTGGCAGGTGACAGTCACTTTTCTCTAGAGTACAGTACACATTTGCCATTATAAAATAAAATTTTTCTCTTAATAATGTAACAGCAATTTCACTACCATTTACATGAAATCTATTTAGTTTAAAAGATAGATAACACCAGAAATGGAAACATCAGTAATGTACAGCAGCTTTTGGGGTTTCTCTTTCACTATTATAGTGACAGTCCTGATTATGTTTCTTAATACTGACAAAAATATTTTTGATTATTTGCATTTAAGTAGTCTGGTATCTTTCTCTCCCCCTCCTCCCCTTTCTTTCTCTCACACATATACACTCAGAGCTTTTACTGTATCTTACAATTATAAAAATGTATAAAATACATACTGAGGGAGCCATAATTAGCTATATTTTCTATCCTCTCATACAGTAGTTACATAAAGCCTTTCATCCTATTACACTAGCAGTCAATGGGGGTATCTATTGTACAATATACCTACTGTATATGTCTATGTGTACATATCTTCAGATGTTTCATTAATGTTTGAGAAGTCACTAAATATAAAGCCATGAGGTGAAAATCTGGCTCCACTGAAGTCAATGGCAAAACTCCCATGGAATATTAGTATTGATCTGATAATTATTTATAATAATACCATCTAATACTTAATAATATTCTCATTAATAGATCTCTAAACACTTAACAAAAGATGGGTATTATTATTATGATTTGCCTAAGGTCACCCAGTGAGTCTGAGGCAAATTCCCAGTAACACACCCCATCCACTGCATTACACAATCTCTCTGCTTATGGCTTTCTTACAAATGGAAATTATCCATTTTTATAAAAAAAAAAATCTTCAAGAAGCATAAAGCAAGCAAATTCCATCTCGAGATTCTAGAGACACCACTGTAACCCATACAAGGATTTGTACTAATGGATAACAAGGTCATCATTCTGTTAATCTTATTTGAAAGTGAAAGGCATTGGGCATATATTAAACAATAAAAAAGCATTTGACATACTTTATCATTGCCATAATGAGAGCTGAAATGAAATATGGCTAGTCAAATAGTTCAAAATAGGTCTAAACAATATATGATCAAAGATGAAACAGGATTAAACAGTTACACAAATAAAACATACACACAAAAATCAGAAGACTGATTGATGAAGATTAATTCGAACTTCACATCAACATAAAAAGAAAACAGACACAAGTAGATACTATTTGTAGTGGAGATAGATTTCATTAATGAAAATCTGGTGATATAAAATACATGCCTGAAAGGGGAAAAAAAAGGAATCCCAACTAAATATAATATTCCAATAAATAATATTCTAGTTAAAATAAATACAGCAAAATACTTTAAATAAAACTACATTCTAACATGGAAATTGAACATTGAACTACTTAATTACTATTTGGAGCAAGACATCTAATTCAGAACATGTTTGCATAATCTTTCATGGGGCACTTTATATAAAGTTTAATATTCTACTATAGTATTTTCCCCCATCCCAAACATCAAATATTGGTATATATCCTGTTTACTTCTACTTTACAGAACTTTATTAAAATACATAGATACATAATATGGATAAAATATTACTGGTCATTCTATAGGCTGATGTTTTTTTCCCATTGGTTCCTTTTAATAAGACAACTACAATATTGCTTAGGAGTTATCCTTCAGCATACAAACCTATTAAGAATGCCTAACAGTTACAGAACTTTACAAATAGTAACTAATAACAGTATGAAGTAAATATGTGTTGTTATTTCTATTTTACAGATGGGGAAGCTAATATAGGGAGATGAAATAGAGAGGAAGTCAGTGTCAGAGCTCAGTGCTTCCCATTCTCAGTCCCAGGGCTGAAACCAATGCATATGCTGCATCCCATGCACAAAAGCATAAACACTTCATGCCTAATAGATTCTTTTAGAGAGAATCCTGTCTACCTTGCTAGCAACTAATTCTTCATAACAAGGAACATTTGATAGTAATATTTATTCTACACCTTTAACATAAAAACAAGTTTGATCAAATAGTATTTAAAAATAATCCAACTAAATTTAACTAAAATGTCTATTTAAAATAAATGAAGTAGATGATGTTCAAAGATTAGCTTACCGTAGAAGGGACAGTTGGGTAACACCCCCACAGGTGCATTGTTGAGATCCAAATAATTAAAATGAAGTTTAACCTGAACAGACTGCAAGGAAAAACGCAAATTAGTTTAATTTTTTTTAAAGGAAAACTTAATATATACATACATATACACCAATACAAACTTTCCAAAGATATAATATAAAGTGCAATATCTTTACCTGATCATTTTTTTCTTTCAGCACTTACGTGCAATTATGCAGTTTTAGTGCCAAATTTCTCACATTTCCGATCAGTTCTTTCTTAGATGACCATTTTATACCAAGAGTTCAGGAGTGAAAATGTCATCAAATCCTATTTCAGTTTGACTGACTGGTCCTTGGTTGGCCTTTTATTCTTTTTAAATGGGAAAATGGCAAGAACATACACTCTGCTGCCATTATAAAACTACCAATTGACTTCATTAAACGTGTTGCCATTAAAATGTCCTTCAAGTGAGTTTCCTTCCAGCCCGTATTATCATGGCACAAATGGTAAAAGGTCTCAAGATTCCCAAAAATTTATTTTAACAAGAGTTTCGTCAATTACTGTATGCTATATTAACCCTCTACATGTGTCATGCACATCTAGTAGCATACAAAAAGTAGTCACAATGTATATTCAGCTGCCAGTTCCTCAAAGCAGATTATAATTCATTGGGATCAAAAACAATAAATATTTCCAAGGACTTTTTTATCTCAGCAAAAATCTGTTTATCTTCTGTCATGAATTGTATATTTGTTTTATATGGTACATTCCCCTATTTGTTGTTTATTACCAGACTAAGGGGATAGACAATATTTATAAGACTCTTGAAATGAATGGACTTTCTTACAGCTAGAGCAAGCTAATGGGGCCAATGCCCTACTCACATGCATGATCTGGTCCTTTTAGAAAACCCACACATTGCACCATGGAAGTCCCACCATTTTGTAGACTTTACTGTGAATATTGTTTAGGCCTCATCTGTACTGAGTTTTTAATGACGTTCAAACTTGCATTTAATACAATTCCTGCTAAAATGGCTTGATTGTTCAGTTTGACAAGGTCCAAGTGGAACTAGATTCATATTCAGAAACCATAAGCCTAACCTAAGTGCACCTAACTGATGTGCAGAGGGATGCTAGTGTCTGTGTCAGTATAACATTTAATTTAGTCTTTATTTGGACTTCTTGGAATCATCGTCTGCAAGAGAAGTCCAGATACTATCTTACTCAACCCCAGCTTCATTCATTAAATTAATCTCTAGGCCTGTGCATGCAGTATCTGCTGATGTTATTGTTTGTTTATTGATGGGAAGTTCCTATTAACTTTAATCTATCTATCAAACCTTTATCTAGCATTATTAGAACATGGTTTCTGAAACTTAGCGCATCACTATTTTGTTCTAAGTATTTTAGTTGGCACAGTGTTTATTAGGGAGGATTGAACCTTGTGAAGTCTGAGAATTCACAGACGCCTCTGGAACTTTTGGGTTTCTAGTTTGAGAGCTTTTGTTTTCTGTAATTAAAATTTGTATTTATTCCTTGGATTATTCATTATAAACAATATTTTTAGGTAAAAGAAAGACTTATGTGTATAAAGAAAACCTCTCCCTCAAAACCTTATGCTGGCACAATTGAGTACCCTATATTTGGTTTACCTAGTGCACAACAACAACGGGAAAAAAATAGACTAGATTCTCTGAGTGATGCAAGGGGAACAGAGGAAAAAACATGAATAGATGCCATCAGTCTTACAGTGAGTCATAAATGTGAGAAAGGACACATGGCCACCATTGCTACGTGGGAATCCAGGAGTAGACAAGGAACCATAATTTGCAAACATCCTTGAAAGCTGAGCACAGCATTTCAAAAGAAGCAGCAGATAAAATCTCTGCTAAACCACAGGTCTCTCTTTACTCACCAGTAACTCCTCTATTTTGTCCAAATAAAATTTAATCCAATTTGTCTTTCTCTGTGCATGCAGAGGTGTAGAAGAGAATGAATAATTCACAGGGAACAATTCAGTTGACAATTGTAATAATAGCTCTCAAAGCAATTTACAAAGAAGATAAGTGTCATTTTCCCACTTTACAGTTCGGGAAACTGAGGCACAAAGTAGTGAAGTGACTTGCCCAATGTCACCTGGCTAGCCAGTGGAGTTAGTTGCCTAGGCACTTATGAAAAATCCCAGTAAGATCCCTAGCTGCATCTTCAGATGCTTAAATGCTTTTAAAAATCTGGACAATGGTGTTATTTTGTCTCCCTGATTGGGTTAGAATAATTCCTAAAGTCAGGTTTCCGGTGCAAATATTCATGTTTACAAAGGTAAAATGTGATTGCTTTGCATATTCCTAAAATTCACTTCAAACATGCTTATGTCACTGGAATATTCTGAGAAAGAAAACAAAAGATGGGTAAAAGCTGACAAAGTGAATTCAATTTTTTTTATTTGAGTGATACATTTAAGGATTTTCCCCCTTAGATATTCACTCGGTTTTAGTCATGTGGGCACCAATGACACTGCGGCCCAAAATGTGGCATGGTTCCCTTTTATGTTTCCTCACACACTGAAAAAGTGATTGGAGAGGATGACCGAATGAGACCCTAGGGAGAGGTTTTGGGGCAAATGAGCAGTTAGGAATTATGGTGAGATTGATCCAACCCTACATCCTTCGGAGCTAGATACATGCAATGTCATGAAGTTTACTGCACTGGCCCTTTGAGACAAAGTCTGAAAACTTGCAATGGTATTAAACGTCCTGAGCATTTTTCATAAAAATAGGAGTTTGTCCAATGTCGTTGGTTGAAAATTTTCCCTCCCTTCACTGCCATGCACTATAGTACACCTAATTACCCACCCGGCTGCTGTTCTCTATGTCAAGGCTTGCTGCAATCCAGTGGTCTAAAGAGATATGTTTGTAATTGCTGGTCACAAAACTCATAACTAACATAACTTCCTGCTTTGTAAAGTACTTTGGAATCCTTCAGGACCAAAGGGGTGATAGAAATATAAAATGAAATTATCCTGATTTAAAGACAGTAGCAATTCCCTCAGTTATAAAGATTATTAAGCGAACATTTGACTGTTTACATATTCAGCACTTACTGTCTTATTCATGGAGAAAAGCCTTTCATTTTAATTGAACATCAAGTCCCAACAGGTACAGCATGTCCAACTCCAAGAGATAATCAGATTATCTGGATGTTTCTGTTACAGTCAAAATCAGTTTGGGTTTGGTTCTGCTTGAGTGAAACGTAGTATCAGTTTTCATCTTATCCACACTCGTTAGCCCAATTTCAATGTACATTAACCTTCACAACCTATTGTGTGGAGAGATGGATGGTCTTGTGATTAAGGTTCAGGACATCAGGGTTCAATGCAAAGCTCGGCCACAGACACCCCATGTGTCTTTGGGCAAATCATTCAACTTCTCTGTGACACAGTTCCCTCATTTGTAAATATATCAGTCTGTAGGGTTGCCAACCTTCCAGGGTTGTCCTGGAGTCTCCAGGATTTAAAGATTAATCTTTAATTAAAGCTAATGTCATGTGATGAAACCTCCAAGAATTTATCCAGCCAAAGTTGGCAACCCTAGTCCCTGGGTAACTTCTTTCCTGCCTGATAGGCTGACCAGATAGCAAGTGTCAAAAATCGGGACAGGAGGTGGGGGGTAATAGGTGCCTATGTGAGAAAAAGACCCAAAAATCGGGACTGTCCCTATAAAATCAGGACATCTGGTCACCCTACTGCCTGACCAGGATCCAGCACTCCCACCTCTATGCCCCACACATCCAGAAGCTTTCCCAGATGTAGGACCATACTATTTTCAGACTCCATAGAGGAGTAGGAATATCAGGTCCCCAAAAGCCTGCTTACTCAGATGCCTGAGGCATGCCTTTGGGGACCAGACAAGGAGCCTCAGTGATATATGTCAGAGCAGCCAATTGCAGACCCCAGCCAGCCTACATACAGCTGGGACTGCTCACACATATGAACTGAGATTGGACAGACACACCTTTCTGGGGCATGAGAGGAAAGAAGCTGACTGCAGGGAATCTGCTTCCAGCAACGGGAAGAGATGCAGCTCCTATTGCTCTTTGAAGGAGGAAGGCAAGGTGCACGGAGAACCCAGGGCTCACTGGTTTTAAGAAAGGTCACAGAGCCACTGAGAGGGAGGAATCAGTCGGCTTGGGGAACGGGTGGTTTCTGAAGGGGGCTACACAGATATTTCCCTATTTGGCAAAGCTGCTTAGGACTATCACTTCCTCCCTAATGCTCAGCCTTCTGACTTGTTTACCTCCTGTGTCTATCTCTGCATGTGAATACACTGGAATTTGTTACTGTTACTCTCTCACTGCCTTCTTTCTCACTCATACAGCAAAATTGTCAAATGGCTGCTAAAGAACTTCCATGCAATGGATGTGAGAAGGGAGACTCTTGAGATTTCATGATGCACAAACATTCCAGAACCCAAAACGCAGCACACCTCTGCCTGAAAAATCAATAAAAAAACCAACCAAACAAAATTTGTTTTTGAAAACCAGCACTATCTGGCCTCAAACTAGAGAGGACTGAAGTTAAGAGTCTGAGGGCTAACATGTCTCATGCTCATGTTTTAAATGTTCACACTCAGACACCAAATCTTTCCTTGCCTTTGTTATTTAAGCTTAGCTGTTCTACCAGGCTTCTGAAAAGTTTTCGAGTCTGATACATTTTATTAGTGTCTTTTTATATATATATCCCATAGCTTTTTTCTACTTTGTACTCCTTAACTTTATAGCTCTTATTAGGTTTTTATTCATGAACAAATAAACACACAGCAATTGAAATGTTATTTGGTGGAAGCCTCTACCATCTACAAGAGGATGTTATATCATTATTGATTTTGTCAATATATTCCAATGAATCTGGGCTACCTAATGGGAGGAGACTGAGAATAAAATTTTCCAAGAGCATAAATGATTTTGGATTTAGGCTACTAAGCGCCTTGATTTCAATGAGAGGTAGATCCCTGTACACTTTCGAAAATCTAAAAACATAACCTTTAAAAATCTGACCTTAAATCACTTTAGAAAATGGGAA